TGTCTCCTTTCTCCACAGAAGCACTGACTTGTAGGAGGTCGACACCATACTTTAGATAGGTTAAAAATAATATTCCTGAGGTCTTAGTATACACTTAAGAAAAATTGTTTTTTTTTTCTAATTTCCTGTTCAATACAAGTCAACTTCACAACTATAGTAGAGAATCACTAATGCAGTGTCCTCTTCATTTTTTCTCTCCTCATCTCCCTCCTCCCTCTCCCCAAAGGCTATGCAAATGCACTTTCATCAAATAATCACGCTTATTACTGGAAGTATCTTGGCACTTTCAAATGTTCCTTGATAAATATGTTGTAATGTTTATAGGACCTTTGAGAAATATGTGTGGATCAACAGCATTTTGAATTTCTTTAATATTTTCTTGGCTTCCATACAAATTCTACCTCTAAAGCATTTATTTGTATGTTCTACCAGAAAAAACATTGTTTTAAAGATGCAATCTTTTTTGTGACAACCTCAAATGTATTGAAGTGAGATTTCTGTAACCAATGAATTTACTTCCCACTGAGGGGTGGTAGGAGGTGTCTATTGATTATCTTCATGGGGCCTGTAAACAAATCAGCCTATAACTGCATCCAAAGACTATGCACATGTGTACTGGTAAACTTTTCTGAGTGGATCTAAAGATTCTCAGAAAGGCTAAGAAAGATAAGTCCTACTGTAAGTAGCGTGGAATTTTAAAGACATTCAGGGAACAGATCTTGGAATCTTTCAAGGATTCAATTTTAGTTTAGCATTATTACAAGCTGGTATTTATTTTTGGTTCAGAAATTTTCAACAATTATATTTTTAATATAATGTCAGCAATTATGTTTAAAACATGAATGGTAATCAATAGGACAACACCCAATTTGAGTTAATCATTACTTCCTTACAGTTATTATAAGAGACACAGGAGAAAACAGTAACAAAGAATAGAGGCACAGAATGTGACAGAAGCCACAATTGAATCGAATTGTTGTTTAACTCCTGCTCTTTTTAAAAAATTCTTGTATATTTTACTGGCGTTAAAATCCTACAACTTTTATGCTTTGGCTATAGAACTAGACCTTTGTATGAAATCTTGTTTTAGAAGCTATGTTAACTTCTAGAATTATATCAAAGAACTTTGGGCCTGCAATGGAACTTGAAGTTCTATCTGTGCTTTACATTCTTCACCAAGGTTCACTGAATGCCTACCGCGGGCCAGGCACTCTTAGAAACTGGCGTCACAGTGAAGATGACACCATGATCTTAGCCAGTAAGTGAGTACAGATTTTAAAACTTCTCACTCGTGGCATGCTTTCTTTTATGTAACATTCCTCCTGAACTGTCATCTAAACTGACACATTTTTAGTGACAGAAAGAAAACTAATTTATCAAAAAGCAAAGGTGAGCTGTTAAAATCTCATTTCCTTAAAACCATCTTTCTCCCCAAAGCCTTCAATGATTCCCCAATTTCACAGAATTAAGACTGTGAACTGTCTGCTCTGGTTTTCAAAGACCTCATGAACAGGACTGTGCTCAGCTTTTAACTTTTTCTTTTCCATTATTTCCCTTTATAAAATTCACACTATAATCAAACCAAAATACTCACCATTGCACCAAAATGTCCTATAATTTCCTATCTTCATGCTTCTGTGCCTGAAATCATTAAATACTGCACTATTATTTTGGCTCCCTCTGTCCAATCCTCACCACATTAAGGTTCACATAAATGTCATGTTTTGTCAGATCCCTCCAGTGCAAAGTAAATCTCTACCTCTGCTGGTTCCCTGTGACACTGCTTAGTCCTTTAGTAGGCCTATCACATGCTACTCCATAGTCTCATACCTGCCATCATAAGTCTGAAGGCCCTGTGATCTGATGGGAGACACTGTGCCCAGTTTTTATACCCCTCACAAAACAGACTATGTACCAAGTCTTAGAACACGAGCATTAGATAACAATCTGGATTTCACTAGAGTGACTGATACCTGCTTCCTTGTACTTTTCACGCTTTTATTCCCCCTTCCTCTACATTAAAAATGTCCTCCCCTTGGCATATCCATGACAGTCCTTCAGACTCTGGCACAATCACCAACTATTATATTCTCAATCAATTTTTCTTTAGGCAATAACCCTACCTCTCAGTGGGTCCTTCTATGAACTGACTCTAAGTCAGGCAACTTTTATTTTTTGAATCCTCCATCTCTGGCATGGGCTATGGAATAAAGTAGGTGTCCATAGAAATAGATAGTTATAAGGAGTAAACAATAAAAAGTAGGATAACATAATGGGCTTAGCAGTATGTGACACAGTAAATACTTCATAAGTGTTCGTTATTAGTAACTAAACAAAAGATTACAACAGCAGTTACCATTTCAGCTCTTATTTTTTTGTAGATCTTTTTAGAGATGTTTTCTGATTAGCAGAGCGTAACAGGTCTACATGACCTCCCAATCCCTCTGTTACATCTGCTTAAGATGGCATCTGTAACACTGGTGTAGACACATCACATGCTGGTGCAGAGTGACTTCTAACAACCAAAACCTCAGAGCCTTCTCATATCAACTGGTGCTCAGCCCTGTATTCCTCCCCTCCCAGGATTGTCCCATTAAGTCTAAACAACTTCTTTTTTATTATGGTTTTAGTATAAATTATAATCAAATGTCATATTAATTGTATCAGTGTTTGTGTGTTTTATTTTGTTTTTATGGTAAATTCCCATTGAGTTGTTAGTACTATCCTCATAAAGAGAGATATGATCAAGGGAATCCAAACATATAACTCTTATTCTTAGATTAGTAGAGAAATTTTTATTTGCTATTTGACATTTGATATGTTTTTTCCCCCTCACTTTGCACAACATATCAGCATGATTACTTGGTTGAAAAAGGTTCACTCTGCAGTTTATGAGACAGTAATCTTTGACAGAAAGCAGTAAAAATGGGATATATTCACTTTGCCGTCATCTCATTGTTTCTCTCAAAAAAAAAAGAAAAAGAAAAAATATCAGACTAGAATATTATGACTGCAATGGAAATTCTAAAACCTGGGAAATCAATGAAAACTAATTTACCACAAAATCCTAACATTTCTGTAATATGTATATTTTTCATAGCAGAGCCTCTCAATGATATTTACATATTAGAAAATATAGCAAAGGAGTTTCATGCAACAGTTCTAAATAAATTAAATGAAGCTATATCTGCTAAAGATTATAAAAGATTACTTAGAAAATTTTATAAAATTTTCATTTTGCAAGTATAATTAAAACTGTAAGAACTGATTTTGATAGCTCTGACTGAACATAAAATGAAGATATATAGGACTACTTTTACGCTTTTCAAATATTCATGCTAATCAGTACAAAAGTCCAAAACCCATACTACTTAATACTTCCTGTTTTAATGACCATTTTTAGGAATTAGGCCCAAAGTCTTGAATATTTTGAGTTCCTCTCAGCTCCCTAGCTGGTAAAGCATAAATAAAGTACAGGTAGTAAAGTACACTATATGAAGACTGTGGAATCTCAAAAAGCCATTGATATACATAATATTTTCTAAACAAAAATCACAATCATTGATCTTTAACTTTAGAACTATTTATGTAAATATATTTGGGCCAACTGTAGTTCAGAGAGCACAATGAAAAGATGGGGGAAACAAATTTTTAAATCAAACAATATATAAGAAATGGTATTTATATTCATAATGGGACAAAATCATTCCCTGATGAAATGTGGGCCTCAAATGAGCAACTGCTTTCAAAATGGTGAGTTTTCAAGCTTAGGAGTGACTGACGAACAAAAAGTGTATCTATTAGTGGTATACACTGTGAATATATATATTAAAACCATTACCATAATCAAGTTAACATACTATCACTTCACAGTGACCTTTGTGTGTGTGTTGAGAACATTTAATTTCTATATATTTATTATGAACTATAGTCACCACACTGTGTATTAGATCTCCAAAACTTATTCATCTTATAAATGAAAGTCTGTAACCTTAATCAACATCTCCCCATTGTCCTCACACTCAATCCCTGCTACTACAAGTCTACTCTGTTTCTATGAGTTCAACTTTCTTAGAGTTGACAAATAAGTTATATTATGCAGTATTTATCTGTCTGTGTCTGGGTTATTTCACTTAGCATAATGTCCTCCAGGTTCATCCATGTTGTCACAAAAGGCAGTACGTCCCTTTTTTTTTAAGGATGAATAACATTCCATTGTGGACTCACTATTACTATTTTGTTGTTTTCTGATTGTTTTGTAGTTCTTTTGTTCCTTTATACCTCTCTTGCTATCTTCCTTTGTAATTTCATGATTTTCAACAGTGGTATGGTTTATACTTTATTTTTTGTGTATGTACTATAGATTTCTGTTTTGATGTTACCATGGGGTTACATAGAAAATCTTATGGTTATGAGTCTATTTGAAGCTTCTTCACTTTTTACTCCCCATCTATTTTATGTTTTTGATGTTATAATTTATTTTTATATTGTGTATCCATTAACATTGGTGTAGCTATAGCAATTTTTTAATATTTTGTCTTTTAACATTTATACTAGAGTTAAAAGTAATTTAAACACCACCATTACAATATTAGAGTATTCTGAATTTCACTACATGTTTATTTTTACCAGGGAATGAAAATACTACATTTTCATGCTACTAATTTGTGTCTTTTCATTTCAGCTTGAAATATTTCATTTAGCATTTCTTGTAAGGCAGTCCTAGTGGTAAGGAATTCTCTTAGCTTTTGTTTGTCTGGGATAATCTTTATTTTTCCTTACTTTACAAGGGAAGTAAGGAAATCTTTATGTTCCTTACTTTACTTGACTCAGTTTTGCTGAGTCAAGCATCAGTGAAAGACAGTTTTTCCTTTCAGCTCTTTGAGTATATAGTCCCACTCCTTTGTGACCCATGGGATTTTCACTGAGAAGTCAACTGACAGTCTTACTGAAGTTCTTTTACATGTTAGCAGTCTCTTTTCTCTTGCTGATTTCAAAATTCTCTGTCATTGATTCTTGTCAATAAGATTATGTCTTGAAGTTTTAGTTTGGTTGAACCTGTTTGAGGACCTTTGAGCCTCATAACCTGGCTGCCCATATCTCTCCCACGCTATAGGAAGTTTTCAGCCATTGTTTATTTAAATAAGATTTCTGTCCTTTTCTTTCTTTCCTCCTTTGGAGACTCACATAATGCATATATTATTTCTCCTGGTGGTATCCCATAAACTTTCTTTTTGTACCTGCATTCACAGATCCCTTCTTCTGCTTGATCAAATCTGCTGCTAACTCTGTTGCATTTTTCATTTCATTCATCGTAGTCTTCAGCTCCAGATGTTATTTGGTTCTATTTTATCATGTATATCTATTTATTGAGCTTTTAGTTTTGTTCATTTATTGTTTTCCTGATTACACTGAGTTTTATTTAGATTTACACTGATTTTATTTTATTTTATTTAGATTTACACTGAGTTTTATTGTAGCCTGCTAAGTTTCTTTAAAGCAATTATTTTTAAATTCCTTGTTGGGCAATTTGTAGACCTCTCCTTCTTTGGGGTTGGTTACTGAGAAATTATTGCATTCTTTTGTTGGTTTCAGGTGTGTGTGTGTGTGTGTGTGTGTGTGTATGTGCCCTAGTGTATGTTCTGTGAAGTCCTATGTTCCTGTTTTCACACATGAAGCAGTAGTCATTTTCTCCAGTCTTTACTGACTCGCTTTGGGAGGGGAACTCCTTTACCAGTCAGCCTTGCTAGAATTCTGAGGCTCTCTCAGATCTTTTCTATAAACGCACTTCCTCCACTCTTCTTTTTCTTTTGGGAGGTAATTCTTAAGATTGTTTATGTACCTTCTCTCAATCTCATTAAGCCAGGCTTTGTGCTGAAAGCCTCTCATTTGCTTTCCCTAGGGCAGTGCCCTGAAATGTTCAGGTTAATGTACCTTCTTCTAATTCCACAGAGTCAAGCCAACTGACTACATGTGACTAGAAACCACCTGTAAGGGCTTGTACTCATGACCAAGAAAATGTGCATGGGAATTGGCCAAAGGAGGGGTGGAAGGGAAGCATGTGGAGCATGGAGGCACCTGTGGCATTGGTTGGGTACACAGGTGACGCATCCCAATCAACTCATGGGCAGGCCTTCTAATGGAGTTTGAGATGCAATCAGTCAGATACAAACAGCTGTTGAATTATAAGTCATAGCTGCTGTGATTTGTGCTGCCCCCCAATCCCCACCTTTCCCTACTTTCAGCGACTCAGACATGCTGATTTCCTCCAGTATTCTGGGTGAGTCAAGAAAGAGGTGAGCTTCTTGGACAGCATTCTGCACAGATGGTTAAGCTGGGTATTCACTACACTAACTTTCCCCCTGGGGGAAGAATCATGGGCAAATCCTGGCACTGAACTGTGCTGCTTTACAGGAGAGGTGACGTGAGTAAAATGAAATTATTCTTCTTAATTTCTTCAATGCATCTCTTCTTAAATTTTTTGCTCAGTTTCAGCAGTGAGCTAGAAACTCCCTGCTGGACTCTGACTCCCACAGAGGTACTCTTGTCCATCAGTGATGGTCAAAATCAGTGCTGCTACAGGGAGATGATGATAGAAAACTTCTATTGTGCTATCTTGCTGAAATCATTCCTGATCCACATTTGTTGTTGAAAAGAACCAGATCCTTCAGTTCAGGAGATTATCCAAATTTTATTATTATTTATAGCACTAAATAGAAAGGTACATGCTAAGGAAGTAAAACATATTCTTGTGCCCATCCCCTAATTACTCTCCCTTGCACACATTTCCAGGGAAATAACAAAATTAAAAAATACACAGGGGGCATTCTAATACATTATTCCATCAAGCACCAACTTTTTTGTCAGTCAGTATCCCTGCCATCCCCTTTTCATCCCCACCCCATGGCACTATATCCAAGACTAGATTTGGCCTTAATCTCGTTCACAGATTGGGTTTTCTTGGAACATAATGCAGTATAAACCACCTCTGCAACTACCAGATGCTAAGCAGCAATATAATCGGAGAGTGATACCATTGTCCTGCCAGAAACTATCAAGACCTTCAAATCAGCAGGAGGCAGCTTCAGGGGGTGACGAAGAACTAAAGTGAGCCAAAAAGGAACATTTCTGTGCTGCTTCCAGTAACACAATGCATATTCTAATGTGATTGTGGGCTGGAAAGATTTCATGTGCCCTTGTGGACTAACTTTACTGTGTGCCTGGAAAAGAGAGTATTTGGATTCCCTGGCAGCTTTCAACAAATTTACCCCTCCCTGTAACACCTGCTTTTGTTGATTAAATTTTAACAGAACATTTTTTTACCTTTAATAGGGTGAGTTTAGGAGGAAAAATGAAATTGGCATCAGCTTTCTTGACATGATTATTAGTAAGTGCAGAGCACTAGAGGTATCTGTTCGGAATAAGAGAAAAGGCCTTTTTGCCATGTGAGTCCTTATCTTACAATACAAAATTTTAGTTGGTAATATGTTAGACTACTTAATTTACAATCTGGCCTGTCCAAAATTGTTGCTAAGTTTTGAAATCTTAGATATTAATGGCATTCTCCTGCCTTGAAAGAGTACATGTTTCAGGATTCACCTGGAGTTTATCATGTACATCCTAATTAACGTGAACTTCACTAATTCATAATAATATAAAAATGCTGTGCAAGGCTGGAGTTCACCTTTACTTTAAAGAAAATGTTTGATAGATAAGTGAATGTAAATAAAAATGTTTAGGCAAAAGAGGTCCTATTCAAACAATATAGGTCCTGTGGGAGCCCACTTTCCACACATTTAAAAATACATACTACCAGGCTAGGCACAGTGGCTCATGCCTATAATCCCAGAACTTTTGGGAGGATGAGGCAGGTGGATCGCCTGAGGTCAGGAGTTTGAGACCAGCCTGGCCAACATGGTGAAACCCCATCTCTACTAAAAAAAAAAAAAAAAGCCAAATGTGGTGGCACATGTCTGTAATCTCAGCTACTCAGGAGGCTGAGACATGAGAATAGAGAATCACTTGAATGCAGGAGGCAGAGGTTGTGGTGAGCTGAGATCGCGCCACAGCACTCCTGCCTGGACAACACAGCGAGACTCCATCTCAAAAAAAAAAAAAATACTACCTACAAAATTGAAAATTGCAGCAACTAATTATTAAACTGGTTTCCCTACAAATTAGACCATAATTTGGTTATGTAAGCCAAAGAAGGAAAAGAAAACTTTCTTTTAATACAAGCTCTTAGATTCAAACTTTCTCCTAATTTACACAGATATCACCTTGATTATTCCAGATTAGTAACTTTATTAAAGATTAGGTTATCCAAAGACTGGGATTTACACCTGCTGTTCTCACTGGCTCTCTCCCTCTTTCTCCTGGATCCCTCACTATGAGGGAAGCGTATGAAAAGGCCCACATGGCAAGGAGCTAAAGCCTCCTGCCAATAGCCATGAGAGAGCTAGGAATGAATCCTGGAGCCCATAAGATGATGGCAGCCCAATAGCTTAACTGAAACCTCATGAGAGACACCAACCCAGTGTCTTGGTTCCCCATCTACAAAAACTATGAGATATATTTTTTTAATGTTATAAAATTTGGGGTAATCTGTTACACAGCAAAAATAATAATGTAGAAAGACAATAAAATTCCAGATATCAGTGGTCTGACTGAAGAATAAGGGCAAAATACCAAGAGTAGGAGTGAGAGGGGTTACACTGGAAATGGACTTATCTGTGAGAATAATGGGCATTTGGAGAGGCAAACCGATGCTTCTCCAAATGTCAGCATGCCAATGTGGAAAAAGCAGAAAGAAATATGAACTATGGCAAGCTCAGTGGAAACTGGATTCCTAAACTCACTGAGGCCTCTGTTACTGTAGGGTGTACTACCAGTAGAAACTCAGTAACATTAAACAAATGTAAAGTGCTATCATTGGGGAGAAAGTGAACAGAAACTTTTCCCTTAGGAAAAGAGAGCAAAGGCAAATAATCAGACCATTAAAAAAGATCAAGAATTCATCTTTACTCTTCTGCAGCTAGAACAAGGAATACCAGATAATACAAACTCTGTGTTCAGAGTTGCTTTTTCCTGGTCACTTGACTATAAATTAATAAAGTTTTTGTTTAAATTTTAAAAGTAAGTTTGTTTCTTATATTACCTGTTGATTATTCCCAGACAGGCTGATGACCATATCCAGGTTTAGTTTTCCGTTTTCATTTCCTCAATTCAGTCCCTGATTTTCAGCCCACTGATTTTATGTTTTTATCACTGTTAGGCAATAATTAAAGAAATTTAAAGATATAAAATCTAAAACCTGCCCCTTTTCTTGTTTTACGAGGAAGAAAGTGAAAAATGTCAAACCTAGAACAACAACAAAAAAGGAAATTAGTGATCAATTTTCAGGCTCAACATTTCTCTTCCCGACTCTGGCATGGGTTTTATGCTTACTCAGGTTATTTTCCTTCTGCTATTTCAGCATATACATATGTATCACCTTCATTTTCTGTATACTTTTACTGCCTTACACATTTATTTATTTTGCTTTTTCGTCCACAGGTGAATTTCAGGTCCCTTCCTGGATATGGGTCTTTCTGCCAATAATGTGTCCAGAACAGGATACAGCATTCCAAGTATAGGATTTTCTCCACAGTCATATAAACCAGATTTTTTTGACTTCTGTGGCTCAGTCTAGGGTCTCTAGGTATGTAAGCTGAATTCTTATGGGTCTCTGAAGAAACAATGTTTCTGGCAGTTCACTGTCATATCTAGTTCTGTTTCATCATTTGTCTAATTAAGCTTTCAAAAGCCTAATGGAGACAACTGACTATTATCAGAGTAATATAGGTATGAGTCCTGGGTCTACTGAAGTGAACTCAGTTTCCTCACTCATTAAATGATTTTGACAATAGTGCCCATTTCATCGTAAGTGTAAGTAAACATCAGTATGTTACTGTACCTGTATCTTCTGAGGGCTCCAAAACACCACTAAGTGTAAAGCAATTCCATGACTGTAAGTCTTCATTTGATGTTCCTTCTCAGTTCCTGCCTTCTCTGCTTCTGCGTTTAGAAGTGGTCCCTTTGGCATTATTCTCTTTCAGGCCTTTTGCTTAGGCCATCTACTCAAGTAACTTTACTACTCAGTACTGCAATTCTTTCCAATTCTAGTTTCCTAGCTGAGGCCTCTCTTCTGACCCTCCCAGCTAGTCTCAAATACCTAGTAAACAACTTCTCACTTTCTCCATGCTCTTTAGTTTCAACATGCCAGATCCAAAATTCATTTCTGTTCTCTCCTTTTTGGATGGAGCAATGGGGATCTCCATAGTTTAAGAAAGAACACTGTACAGAAAGCAATCCAAAGGTTAACAGATCACCAGCATGTGATCTTATCCTTTGGTATAAACACTAGTCTGTACTGGAAACTTGACTCCTCCAGGATCTTTCCTGTGTATGTAATTCTAATGCTCCGTGTGGCACAATCCGTTAGCAGGAACCACTATGCTTTTTTTTCCTTCAAATGTAATAATTCCAAAATTTATTGAGTCCACTTGTTTCTCAAAATATTTTCTTCTTCCATTTAAATCACATTTAACTTGTTCTCTGGGATGCTGTCTTGGGCAAAGCTCAGAGCTATGGCTATCCTCTCACAGTTTCAAAATCACTTGTGAAGGTTCACTGACCCATGCTATCAGCTACAGTGACTAGGGTCTTAACAGCATTTAAAAGAAAAAAATATATATATTAAGCAATAATTTTTCCCAATGTCTGCAGTATTTTAAAAGTAACTACCATTATCTTTTTAGAGTGTATTCATTCTTGGAAGCCTATTACTCTTCTTCCTGGGAGAAACGGTCTAGCTTGTGCACATTTTGAGGATCTGACAGAACCATATCTGAATATTATGAAGCAAATCATATTCTGTTAATAATTCAAAACTCAGTTTTTTTTTCCTATATTTCCCCCATTCACAAAGACAAAAGATCACAGGGCCTTAAAACATCAAACGTAAGAGAGGTGGCTCCATTTTACATTTAGAACCTGTAAACTTCCTATTTCATTGAGTCTAACCAATACATGTGGATTGGTTCTAGCACTGAAAAACGTACTGGGCCCTCTTCGTATTAACATGAAATTGCTTAAATCCTGTGATGTAAGGTTGATCTGGAGAGAGAGAATTCTTTGTTTTTTAAAGTTTCTAAAGTACATCTTCAAGTACTGTCAATGCCTATTAACTTCCACCTCATAATAAAAACTGATGTTAATTTTCATGTAAAGAAAATTTTGAAAAGTGTGTACAGAAGCTTAATGTCATGTACAACATCTGGCACTGAAATGGTCCATCATGAAAACCAGTCCACATGTGGAAGCATACAGGGTGGATATTCCCTGAAGCAGGGCAGACCACAGACACCAGAGCCTATAAAGATGAATGCTGGCCACTTGATAACCTGTTCTTCCTTTACCACAGTGTGGAAACAAACAGACAAAAAACAAAGCTGACCATATCTTTCACCGGATACTACCATATATTGTGTAAAACTTTATGAATCTTGATTTTGCTACTACCATGATATGCTTTAGTTTTTTTTTCTGTACTCAGCAAACCTGACAACTATGTTCTCCAGTATTTCACAAACATTCTCATCAAGCTCATCTGCAAATCAGTTCTCAATGTTTGACCATATTTCCTCATTTTAGTGGCCATTTTTACATTCTTTTGTCTCTTCAATTTCCCATGGCTTTTGTTTTTCTGTTTGCACTTTCTCCAGCTTTCACTTACTTTGCCTTGAAATTGATCAGATTTGTGAGTTTCCAGGACACACAGATTTGCATTAAGGTAAGACGGAACTCCCCACCAGCCTGGGTGGGGAGTTTGCACAGACTCTCTCAAACATGAATTAGGAACAAAGATGAGTGAGGAGCCAGCACTGAGAGTGAGGGTGGTGCAAAGCTAAAAACAAACAGGTGCAAAAGGGTTAGACTTCAAACTGATCCTGGACTCATACATACAGAGCTGATTTCTACAGTTTGACGTGTCTTTCATCTGACTTTAGATTTCCAGTTCTATCCTGATGAAAATGCTTTATAAGATTTTTTTCTAGAAAAGCCAAATGTAAGTGGTTGCTTTTATTCATGATGGATAGGAACTTTAAAACTTCTCAGCTCCTGAAATGTGTTCATAGAAAGGATAACGTAGGCACTTTTTCTAGACCTCCGAAGATAATGATGTACTGCCAAAAATCAAAGATTTCCATGCCAGTGCTTACTTTGCAGTCTCCAGGAAAGTAACACAATCACATCCTTCATTTTATTTATTTCTATTTTTTCCTCAAACAGACTCAAGATTGGCCTGAACTGTTTGTCATCCATTCTCAACAACACATCTTCAGGGATGTGTTCAACTCCTTGTCTCACTGAATTATATTGGTTAACACACATAAGCACTTCTACATTGTTCAAAGTGATTTTTATCAAAATAAATGGAGAAACATAAAGCTAATTAACATACATGCTAATAAAAGTCTATACTTTTAGAGATGGTTTATTGTGGCACCTCTGCCATTTCCTTCAAAGAGAAACTGAGTTGGGTGTGATGTAGTTTAAAGTCTTTCATTGACTCATTCCTTAGTGTTTCTCTCACATTGATTTTAAACCTTGTCACTGTCCCCTATTCTAGGATTTGTATACCTCCTCTTTGAATTCGAAAGGAAATAATTTTCTTTCCAGCCCCATTAGGCTCCTTTTGTAGACAGCTAGCACAGAGGTGGGGTAGCCTCCGACACCATCATCTAATTTCACACAAACTCGTCATTCTGTTCAAAAATTCTTGGATTCTTAGGACAGGTTCGATGGCTCATGCCTGTAGCCCCAACACTTTGGGAGGCCAAGATGGGCAGATCACTCGAGGCCAGGTGTTCAAGACCAGCCTGGCCAACATGGTGAAACCCCATCTCTATTAAAAACAAAACACAAAAATTTTGTTGGGCATGGTGATAAACAAAAAGGATTACTGTTTCCAATGGAAAACAATGCACTGTCTAGAGAACACCCTTTGGGGTTCTCTGATTCTGGCTTTCTACTGCCTTTGAATTATTTCATAGCTCTAAGTTTTAGATAACTCAGAGCACTTCAGAGTCTTTTCTATAGACAACACAAATATATTCTGCCCCTTGGAGGTTAAATTTACCTTCCTCCTTTCATTAGAGAAAGCCAGTTTCAGGTCCATTTGTTTATCTCACGTTTCTTTATTCCATATAAATCTATGATTCTCCTTTGAATGGTTATGACATCTTCTTCATTCTCCATTAATAAGATTCATAAAATCTTTAACACATGTTCAATTTATGTCTGTATGAGAGTCATCATTCCCTATTTTCTTAGAAAATTATTCTTTAACAGTAAAAAAATAATTCCCAAAGCCATTAACAAGGACAATTTAAGTTCGATTATAGCAGATTACAAAAAGCATTTTTTGGCAAACAGAAATTTCTTTGCATTAAATATCAAATAAATGATTGAGAAAAGCTATTCTACAGTGTTTGGTGGTGATGTATGTATTATGGTGGGATTCCACCTGGAACATAAAATGTGAGCTGCTCTGTGGAAGAGACATACTATATGAGTGCTGCAGTTTAACAAGATGCAAAACTGTTAGGTATAGATACACTAAGGACCTGGAAATAGTGGAAAACGTCATTTGGGGACCACCAATCTCCTGTATGATTGTAATTTATAGTAATTTAACACTCTTGATGGAATAAGAGTTGCCTGAGAAAATCATTCCCATTCTTAGACCTGGCAACAACCAGACACCTTTTAGCACTATTCTCTCATTCCACAACATAGAAATTCATAGTGGAATTACTATTAAAACCAAAAACAGAGCTAACAACACATTTGCTTAAAACGTACTTATGAAAAGCAGCTAACGTGTCACATTTCAAATGATCACAACTCCTTCTAAAACCTCTTTCTCACTTCTTTACTCTCTTCTTTTTAATTCTGTTTTTAGGTTTTACAGAACAAAAAGTCAACATTGAGTTTCATTTGCACCATAGAAAAAGAGTAAACAGGAAATACTGTCTTAACAAAATAACAATTTAGTCATTTCATTCATTTGCTGTTTTGACTTGTAACTTAACAAATAATGTTTTATGCCACTAGACAAATATACACAATACATACACAAAGCTGTTTGTATCAAGGAATCAACCCATTTCATATGCCAGCACAAGGACTTAAATGCCTAATTCCTAGATATTTAGGCTGGTGTTCTTTTTCTAGAAAAGTTTCAAATATTTTAGGTGTTATAGAACTTGTTGTTTACATATAAACAAATATAAATTTCAATATAAATTGTTTTTGTGTATATTACTATTCTCTTAAATATTTTAATAATCAGGCAAGGTGCGGTGGCTCATTCCTGTAATGTCAACACTTTGGGAGGCCGAGGTGGGCAAATCATCTGAGGTCAGGAGGTCGAGACCAGCCTGGCCAGCATTGCGAAACCCCACCTCTACTAAAAATATGTAAATTAGCTGGGTGTGGTGGCACACACCTGTAATCCCAGCTACTCAGAAGGCTGAGACAAGAGAATTACTTGAACCTGAGAGACAGACGTTGCAGTGAGACAAGACTGCACCACCGCACTCCAGCCTGGGTGATAGTGTTATTCTCCATCTCAAAATAAATAAATAAATAAATAAATATTTAATGATAAAAGATACTGTCCTTGGGAAGCTAAATTGGACTTTAAGCAAGTGGCTAGGTAAAAAATATCTCATTAGAACAAAAGCTCAGTTTTTATTAATTTTAATTCCATTATCAGACTTTATAGAACTTAATAGAGCTTAAAAGAGTGCTTCCTCTTTTATTTCCAAAAGCAACAGAAATATTTTACAAGTAAAATATAAAAGACGTTAGTGTCATTTGTTTCACTATCTTAGACTTACAGATGATGTGAAGAAATGGCTGATAAAACATTTCTTAAGCTTGACAGCTTTTGGTAATAATTTACAGGGTTGAAATAGAGTTATGATTTAGTCTCACAGTTTGGTTATTAGAACTAACCTTGCAACCCGGCAGGGCCAAGAAGGAACAGTGAACTGCCTTTTCGCCACAGACCTTCTAGGGAAGAGGAGAAAAACTAGATGAACTACATCCCAGGGATTGCTTTCTTAGTGAGTATCATACTCATGGTAGTGATTTAACAGCCTGTTCTAGGATACACTACAAGTTTTATTTTTTATTCAGTAGCAGAGAATTGTCAATTTGGTAGGGGAAGAGTACATTAGAGATCATCTGGCAACCTTTAGGCATCTACAGTCAGGGGATCCTACATAATTTCAAATCTATAAGTATACGTGGCACATGCTAAACACACATTTGGGAACTGCAAACTTACGAATGAATTATATTCTGTGTTTGTATGAATTGGTTATATGAAATATGCAACACATTTTTCCAACCAAAAAAAAATTTTTAATGATGGCTACTGACCTAGGTTTGGCTCACAAAAGCCTACTCATTCATAGGGTGACTTTAAAACTAGGTACATATTATTTTTAAGAGAGTAGAAGGAAAAATGCTACAAATATGTTATGTGTCAGTATGTTATGTCTTATACAGAATGGCTTAGGAAACCAAGCACCGCTGCTAAGGTTGTTTCCTATGGGTTGTTTCGGAGATGGGGAATGCACTTCCCCTTGTGTTCTTCATACTGTTGCTGACTGCCAAGAACTTCAAACCTTTTGCTGTGACAGCACAAAGAGAAGCCTTTGATGTAAAAGGTCAGTTGTACACAGCTGACCTGAGTTGGCAGCCACAGGCTTATGGACATGCTGCATTGATATTTACGGCATCTCTGGGTCTAACATACTTTACCCAAGGACAACCTCAACATGCAAATAATCATTGAAGGAAGTTATGTCTTGAATATCTGAGAGTGACTGAACTGGATGGGGGGTCCTGGCTCTTGTGAAATTACATAGGTGTACAGAGTTAAAAGATTTGTGTCCTTCCTGTCCCTTTTTATGTACTCAACCTCTTGAAGGAACTGAAACCTTCTTAGTCAGAGTCATGTTATATACTACATAACATCACTTATTGATAAGCTCCACTATGGCATAGACTCACTGATACTCACTTTTGCATTCTTAAATGCTAGTCTCACAGAGGCTGTACTTCTCACCTCTGACATATCAAATAGGAGTGGATTTTCCATTAGAAACACAGAAACATAATAGTTGGGTAGATAAATTGGTACTATACTTAACCATAATGTCAAATACTCTTCCTATAGAAACTGTGTTATGATTTCAAAGAACTCATTGATAGCTGTATTTCATACAGGAGAAATGTCCACATACTCATGAACAAATACAAATCCACAGAACCTTGTGTAAAAGTAGTTTAACATTCAACAAGGTGACTGATTTCATGCCTGAGCCACAGACTTGGCCTCATTATTTTATTTATGTATTTTTTTTTTTTTTGAGATGGAATCTTACTCTGTTGTCAGGCTGGAGTGCAATGGCGTGATCTCGGCTCACTGCAACCTCTGCCTCCCGGGTTCAAGCAATTCTCCTGCCTCAGCCTCCCAAGCATCGTGGACTACAGGCGTCCATCACCACACCCAGCTGATTTTTGTATTTTTAGTAGAGGCAGGGTTTCACCATGCTGGCCAGGATAGTCTCGATCTCTTGACCTTGTAATCCACCCGCCTTGGCCTCCCAAAGTCCTGTGATTACAGGCTTGAGCCAATATGCTCAGCTGGTCTCATTATTTTATATGCACTCCTTGTATATTCTAAAGTCATGTAGCTGGTTATACAAATAAGTCACATTCAGCATCCTGTATTATAAATTACATATGGTTATTTCTCTGCACAGTAAAAGGGCTTTCTTATTAGAGTAAGAAATTAAAGCACTGAGACAATAATTGAATTTTTAAAAATGTAAGCACCGATAAAAATTATCTGAAAATAGCATAGAAGCATTTTTCAGTATCAAAGTCTATGATATTGCTGAAATCCAACTACCAAGGATATGACTATCTAAATCGATGAAGTCTCTGAGTTTTGGACATCACAAGAGACTAGAAAGTTATCTCTTTTCTATGTAAGGTAGATCCATTATAAAAGGCATCTTAGTGTTGCTAAAGTGTTCAACCATCAATATTTGCTCAAATATACCTTTGTTTGATATTAAACTGCTGCTTTTCCTCACAAAGTAATTAACTGGCAACTTAATATGTCATTACAGTTGCTATGGAGAAAAGTCTGGCAAAAGAAGGAAAAATGCTGGTAGGTATTAAAGGGTCCTGGAGCCTGAGAACTCCTGTGAGAAGTGTGAGCGCATGGAAAACTTTTAGGGTGGGACCGGGGCAAGAGGAAACAAGCAAACAGGACTCTTGGGTGTCCTGCTAGAAAGAGAGGTAAACTCAGTAAACTGGTCCTAAATATAGGAACAAGCTTAAAATCAACAAAATGTTAATGATAAACCTTTGGGAGGCAAAGACCAGGGACTCTAAATATTACCATGCCCCCTGTCCACCCCCACACACAAAATCACAAAACAGCAAGTTTCATTTCACACAGGAATGCTTGTGGTTTCTCTAGTAAGCAGCAACACAGTCTACTTGGAAATGCAAAAAACAGAAAAGCAAAAAGACGCCTTTGCAGCTGGTCTTTAAGTGAGAAGAGCTACTGCCTTCTAAGATACGAAAGGGAGTATTTAGTCCCTATCTTGATGATGTTGGGACAGGTCATGTTAGAGAAGAGCAACATTTTTCAAAGGAAAAGATACAGCACCTCCAGACACGAGTGAAAATGGAACAAGCAGAGGTGTGAGGTTCCTAGAGTAAGAGGAAAATGTATAAAAAAAATGTAAGAGACAGAATAAATACATCCAGAGGAAAATGGGAAAATCAAAGATGGGTGAAAACAGATACAGAAGACTCTGGAGCAGAAGGAGACAGTGAAATTGTCTCACGGCAAAAACAGCAGAGCTATGAGGTGACTAATCACTAAGAAGTGGAAAATGTCCACAGGCAGTGTCTCTCAGTTGCTCAAGAAAGCAGGTGCGGCCAATACAGAGAAGCATCGACTGTATCTCTGTGGAATCGAATCCAGACTCAACTGCTGCTGAAAATAGTTTCCCAAAACCCAACTGAAATTAACCTTCCAGAATGTCATTTAAATTTAGGGCAAAGAGGAAAAAAAAGTTAAAAGGAGAAAAAAAAATACATATGTGTGACAGGAATGTAATTTTAAAACACCCGTTTAAACCTAAGGTGTTCTTCATGTGTCCATTTAGAATTGAGGGTTTTCATCAACTCTATTGCAACTTCTCCTGAAGACTTCAGAAAGAAAATCCCTAATGCAGAGGAAGCAGTACAGTGTTGCCAGAGCCCAGTGAATTCTCGATCTCATTCAGGAAACAGTTCACTAAATGCACTGTAATGTGAAGTCCAACTCAATGTAAACCAAAAATCACATGAAGAACTCTGGTAGTCCACCAAGGAGCTAGCTCTTCTCAGTTTATAATTTGACAGTGCCACTGACTTTGGGACCGTAAAAGCTGTAAGCCTTTCCTCCAAGATGACCAAAAGCAAACAATAGCACAGGAGATAGAAAGCAGGCTAGACTCTAAACAGTGGCAGCTAAAAAACTGAATCAAACCAATTTCATAAGACTAAATAGAAGTGTCTATTTACCTCCTTGCATTTATACTTGATTTAAATGAAGCAGTCGCCAAGCCCAAAACAACTCCTCCATGAAAACAAAAACAAAGAAACATCCTGTGATCTGACATAGTTGCTTTTCAAAATTTTCAGTGTCAGGCTTCCACTCACCAACAGTTTCAATTTACTAAGGAACTTTAAGAGAAAGCAGATGTAACTTAAAATACAATGGCTGCAATATATACTGTAACTCGTCTGGTATCAGCAACAATAAACCTCAGGCCTATAGGGGACTCGCTTGCAATCTTGATCTTGAGCTATAAAGCTAAGAACCAATGGCATTAAGGATGCTACAAGAATAGCATTTTCACAAAGTCATTTCTCAGACTTCCTCTCTTTTGTATTCTCAAAGTAATTTGTAAGGTAAACAGTTTCATCTTGGAAGTTAGAGCTCAGTAGAGTGTTTTACACACACACACCCTCACAAGTTTGTCCCTAAAGCCCATACAGTACAGTGGGTCACAGAAAGGAAATTTCTCAGCCATGCGTAAGGCATCTCTGGGCTCCCCCAGGGAGACCACCCGCCCCAGAAATGATGCGACACTCCCGCTCCCTGCCGTGTGGGGCATGTACTGAGCAGAGGCTGCCAACTTTTGGCAAGCTATGAAGAAATTAGAATATAACTGCAAGAGACTTTAGACTTTTCTCCAAGAGGAAACACCCACTTTAAAACAGCTGTGGATTTTCTTAACAATGTGCTACCAAAGGTACTTTAATCCTCTGTGACTGATTTTTGCAGACCCCTACATTTTCAACTTTAGGATTATCCAGTTTGCTGACAGAATTTGCTACATTCGTTCAGTCTTTCAAGTACTATTCAACTGAATCAAAAAACATCTTTTACTTGCAATAAAAGAAAATAAGTGCTTCCTTTCAAAGTTATTCAATCTAAATTTCCAACACACAAATTATTTTTAGTCAGATAATGAGTGTAAGCAGACAAGAGTTTAAAAAAAAAAGACAGCGTTATACAGAGCTATGTTTGAGCTATGCATGAACACTGCTCCGTCTGGCAGTAAAAATCAAAGCAAAACAAAACAAACCCAAAATTTCTGTAGTGGTCTGATATATACAGTTTTTAGAAACACACAGTATGCTGTTTTTAGACTGTTATTGCTGAATGTAGCCTTTTTATATACCTAATACCTCAAAATTTGTTTTAAAGTTGGTGGTTAATAAAAGAGAAACACAAAAATTAAGTCCTATCACATGGTGAGTATGCAGAGATACCATCTACTACTACACTGTCAATTCTAAGAAGAAAAAGAGAAGAAAAATAAAGAGGGGAAAGGAAAATGAAATAGGACACATGAAATAGTATGGAATAGGGGAAAGGGGCAAGGCAAGATAAAAACGGCCTTTGTCGAGCATATATCAAGGCATATTACAAAGTCTAAGAGAAAAATGGAAAACAATAGAAATTCCAGAAGAATATGAAAGAGGGAGGAAGCAAAAGAAAGAGAGAGACCGTGTGTGTGTGCGCGCGCGTGTTTTCCAACTTGGCTAACAAATGGCATAAGCCCATGAGAAAGGGCAGATTATCTAGATACTGATGCTGGGAAAACTGACTCATGTTGTGGAAAAAAAAATTGGATCCCTCTGGTCATATACAAAAATGTATTCCAGATGGAGCAAAGATGTATATAAGAAAGGTAAACTGACCAGGCGTGGTGGCTTACACCTGTAATCCCAGCACTTTGGGAGGCCAAGGCAGGAGAGTCACTTGAACCCTGCAGGTTTGAGACCAGCCTGGACAATATACCAAGTCTCTGTCTCTACCAAAAATAAAAAATTAGCCAGGTGTGGCGGTGTGTAACTGTGGTCCCAACTACTCAGAGGCTGAGGTGGGGGAAACATGTAAGTCTCGTAGATTGAGACTGCAGAAAGCTCTGATTGTGATTGTGCCCCTACACTCCAGCCTGGGTGACAGAGGGAGACCCTATCTCAAAAACAACAACAACAAAAACAGGTACAATAAAGTAGAAAAAAATTCAGATGATTTTGAGACACTAGGCATTGGGAGCCCAGCAGAGGTAGTGTAACTACTCATTTGCAGAGGAAGGAACAGTGGAACCCCAGCAGCCCTTCAATCACCCCACTTTTTCCTGACTACTCAGGTGCAGCCACAAGCTTGTGACCACATTTTCTTTATATGGGAAACATAAAGAAAGCTAGCACAGCTCTCTAGAGAACAAGCACCTCAGTCCCTGGTCATCTGCATCATTTGTCAATGGAACCAGCCTTGAACTCCTGACTTCCAGACCTTTTGTGGTAAGTGGGAAAATTCACCCTTGCTTTTGGAGGCTACTACTGGTTGGGTTTTCTGTTCTTTGCAGCCATGAATGAAAGTACATGGTAAAGTAAATATTATATACCCAAAGTAACAAAACATTGCCCACCACTATGGTTCTGAAATGTCCCTTAGTATTCACAGCAGATGTGTTTTTGAAAATAATCAAAACTATTTCTATAATCAATGGTGCCTCTAAGATATTCAACTGAGGAGATGGGATCAGAGGAAGATTCAGGAAGGAGAGACATGAGAAGAAATAGTGGCCAAGTAGGATAATAATGCTAGAAGAAAACTGTTCTTTCTCTCTTCACCCATTATTGAGCCCCAGTTCAAGTGCTGCTAACCCAGGTTCTGATGGCATTCAGAGGAATCAGCCCAGGCAGACAGTAGGATTGTTCAGGAAAGCCTGAATCTTGCAATTGTGCCAGAGAATTAGATCCTTCTACTGAGATCTTATAGCGTTTGCAAGCAGATTCTCATATTCCATTCCTGGTCATGTCTAGTATCAGAAGACTGCATACCAATATATTTAAAATGCCATCAATATGCACTGATGACAAAAACCTAGATTTATACTTAAGCCAACTCCACAATAGGACAAATGTCACACTGTGAGGCTCTTTCATACTTTGCTGTGCCACCGAAAAATGCTTCAGATTCAGCAATATGTTTACACTAAAGTGGGCTGCTCTTTGTTTTTTCCACTTTCTCTCCTTAGCTGAAGAGATATTTTTAAAATGCATACAACATCCAATTCTATGTCTAAAAATAAGAAAACCTGTAAAGTTCAATAGCTCATGTTAAATCATGGTGAGGTATACCGTAGAGAAGGTTATAATAGAAAGGGAGGCTTGTTTTCATCTTAACACATCCTTTAACTTTGTTTTCTGGGAGAAAAGTACACCCTATAGACATGTTATATGTACAGTTTCAATTTCCAACTGCATTAGATTTCCTAAAAATATTGAGCCTGTGGTTTTTGGTTCCAAACCTACATATGAATGGATATATGCTTCAGGCACTTTAAAAATAAAACAAAGGAGTTACAGTTTATCTCTCTTAAACAAAATTTGAAGTTTTTAATGGTTCAATAAAGAAAAAATTAAAATATAAAAGTTGAATATGTATTCTGACTAGCAGTAAGAAGCAGTTATATTTTGGGCTATAATACTTCCTGGATGTGAAATTATTATTCTCCAGTAGTATTATCTGCTTGCTTTAACAGTGAAATATTTTGCATCTTAATGGATAAAATTAGACATCCCTAACACATAGACAGAAACAGATGAAACAGTTCCCACTGGGCATGTTACTTCCTAAATACAAAACATATCTCAGGTATTATTAACAAAAAACTTGATTAGATTTTAAGGAAATTAACAGTGATAGTTTTTAATATTAATTTTTATATTTTTATTACAAATATTTACTAGTAACATCTCAAAATGGATAGCACAGTAGGCTGACACCAGTCAGAATCACATCAAGACCTTAAGAAACGGCAGTGATCAGTGTGTCAACAAGTGTACCATTTATATTAGAATCATTTTACTAGTATAGAAATAAAAAAGAACATTTAAGTTACAGGCATGGGTGATTTAAAAACAAAACATTAAGGGAACAAGAAAAACAGTCTTAATCATTTGGAGCCTGTGACCCTTCCTGGCTTTTCTGAATTAAGAATAGTTCCTGGAAACTTCCAGAACTGCTACCCTTCTGTGGCTATTGATTTGGGTGTGTGCATCTTCGATTTCAAACCCATTCAATCAGCTCTGTGATCAACAGTTTATTCCCTTGGCCTGTTCTTCCATTTTGTAAAATATTAACATTTTTTAACAGAGAGAGAGAAAAGAAAAACAAAACTTGGAAAGCAAAAGACTCTTCCAAGGAAGAACACAAACACAAAATAGGAATCAGCTGTCTTCAATGAGAACTCTTCATGTAAGAAAATATTCGTGGCTTCAAAAGATTAAAGACTGATTCCAATTAAAAAGCAGCTTTCAGATTTCTGGAGCATAAGTCTCAATTAACAAAGCTTTTCACTTGAAAATAACAGTTGCATAATAACAGTAATTATGATCTAGATGGGAGGCGTTTTGTTTCAAAAATCTTTCACTCAATCCATTATGTATAATATCCAACATGTAGACTTTTTCACCTACCATATTTTATTGATTGTAAGATACACCTTTCAACTTCTATGAAGTAGTGATGCAGCATCGTCAAACTGATAGCTGCAACAGCTCGTGGTCTGGTAGCAGTCATAACATAGATCTATTGCAAGCACAAACTGGGACACAAAGGTTCATATTTCTTATGTCAAAACAAATCTTAGAGTTTTATGAACTTAAAATAATTCCAAAAGACAAGAAAGCATTGTGTCATAGTTTAACAGTAGCATTTGTTTTCTTCTTCAGTGGTTATATGTTTCTAACAACCAATGGCATTTTAGATTTGATGAAATAGGGCATAAATATAATCTAGATTAATAGTACCTGTTTATGGCTGGTGATCTGCCTAACAAACTGAATATAAAACTTCCAACTGGCCATCACAGCCCCACACAGCAGAATCCCAACTATACTTCCCAGTCTTCTCTCTCACTCACTACCAGTTTTGCACTCCTGCTGTTAGAAATAAACTATTCACAATGCCCTGAACACTGACTCCATCTACTTGCCTTAGGAGTTTCTCATGGTCTCTTCTGCTAGGACTCATTATCCTCACATTGCTCTAGATTTTGAACCTTTATTCATCCTTCAAAGTCCACATCAAACAGCAGGTTCTCTAAGCAACCTTTTCTAATCTCTGCACCTAGATTTGTTCTCACTCCGCATCCCCAAATATTATGTCTGTGCATCCATATTTCAAAACTTGCAAACTAAAGGCCTGATGTTAGAATTTATCTGGTAACTCAAGATTTTGTTGATCCACACTGTTTTCATTTTTGATAATTTTTAACTTGAGCCAACATTTTAAAAACTCATAAAAATTCCAACTTTCAAGCATTAGGTGCCTGGCTCCTTGGACATTTGAGTTTTCAATCCTTGCTTTATTCAACTAAGGGACTGGAGGGTACTTAACAGCAGAAATTTTATCTTATGCATCTTTGTAGATCCATAGTAGGCATTTTAGAAACACAGGTTGAAATGACTGTCTACTTTTTTAACCTATTTTAATAAAATTGCAGTTTCAAGGGATGCTCTTTAAAAGCCACATTTGAACAAAAACATCTGAAGTAAACTAAATTAGTGAATACATTATATGTAACAGAAAATGTGGATAAATTTTATTTATTATACAGTTTGTCTTGTTTCTGCTTGTTTATTTTGCTGTATATTCAGACTCAAAGGAGGAGACAGACTGAATATCAATGTTCATACAGGAATTTCTATAGAAATAATACCAATACCCATTGCAAAAATACAATAATGCATATAAATAGTTTTGACAGCCAGTAGAGTTCATGATTCTGAATTCTAAATAGATAACAGAAACCCAAGAGGAACTCAGGAAAATGACCTTAAGAAGCATTCTGTGCTTCTCTGAGTTTAGGTCAATTAAACAGATTGGTATCAAGCATCTAATGCATATTGTGGACTCAGGATACTAAGAAGAAATCATGAACCAGAATAGTCTCTGCCATTAGAATTAGCACATATTAATTTTCCCAAGAAACCACAAAATATCAATTAAATGAATATCATTCCATGTGACTATAAGCAAGTGTTTAAAAATTCTCATTTATTTGATATCTCTTCCTCAGCAAATCGCCCTTAGTACTAAGCAGCCAACATAACCAAACCATTATTTAGTGGGATCTTTCTAGTCAAGCTGAAAGAGCTATAAAGCTTCTCTGGGAAGTTTAAAAATAATGGAGAAACTGGAAGGACCTCCACAATGATGGAGTGCAATTGTTCTGTAAGCAGGATCCCAAAAACAGTAGCAGCAGCAGCAGCCTTACCTGGGAACTCACTGGAAAGGAAATTCCTCAGGGCCCACTGAATTACAGACCCCGGGGTAGGGCTCAAGAAGGTATTTTAACAAACTCTCCAGGTGATTCTGAGGCACATTCTAGTTTGAGAAATACTGATGGAGTACAATACCCTACATGCTCCAGAGAAGTTAAGAACCTTTACAAGCCCATTCATCCAAAAGAGACTAAACTAGGGCTAAGACATAGGTTTCCTGTTTCCCAATCAAATATTCCTCTACTATACCAGAACGGGTCTATAATACTTGCCACCCTACATCAATATAAAAATAGAATTCTGAACTATGTCTGCAAACTTAGAGATACAATGACTGCTTTTAGGTATTTTCATTCTTTCCACCTTCCTTTTTCATCTAAATCTTACTGGAGAAACGGATATTTAAGAAAAGTGACCAATTTATTGCTAAAGACAGACAATGCCATTAATGTGACCTGGGCTAAATCTCAATTTATCAAGGATGTGTAGTATAGCATTATATTATATATTCTTTATTTCTTTATTATCTTCCTGATCCACTAGGCTATAAGCTCCATGAAGGCAAAAATCCTGTGTTCTTTATGTCTATATGTCAGTCCCTAGAACATTTCCTGGCACATAGGACACTCAAAAGTCACTTGATTTGAGTCAATGAATACATACATTTAAATACATTATCACTTAAACTGTGGTACATCTTTTACCTGACTACATTATAAACTATTAGAGACTTAGTCTTAAATAATTTTTGAACCCATATCACCTAGTATGGTAGAACATATCTTACCTATCTAGCAGCTGACAAAGTTTTTTCTACAAGAGCCAGATAGTAAATATTTTAGGCTTTGTAGGCCATTGGGCTCTGCTTCAGCTAGTCAACTCTGCCTCTGTAACATGATAAAAGACTGTATGTAAATGATGGATGAGGCTGTATTCCAATAAAACTTTTTATTTACAAAGACAGGCAGTGGGCCAGATTTGGCCGGTGAAATGTGGTTTGCCAATCC